ACGAGCTGATAATGGTGTTAATAATGTTAATAAACCTCCTATTAATATACATCCACCAAATATCCATTTAGCATCAAATTTTTCTGCAAAATTTTCTGTACAAAAACATTTTTATTTGTAAAACGAACAATATATCTAGTATGTGTGACTAAAAAACTATTAAAAGAAAAAAGAACAAGATACAAAGGCGTAGCGTATAACATGTATTATAAAACTAAGATATTCCGACAATTAAAAACCATTAGCACTATAATTTAATGAAATTTGGCCTTCTCTTAAGAATAATTATTCTGTTAATACTACTTGATTTTTTTACTTTTAATTTAACACAAAAAATACGCAAATATCGTCTGAAGACATCAAAGTTGACTTTGTTTTTCGAGAGTCGACTTAAGGAAGTTTTAGCAGCTAATATGATCTAGGTGAGGCCGCCTCCGTACGCGCAGTGCATGTCTCTGATGTGGTCCATACATACAATGTTTACGAAATATTTTGTAATCAAATTCAATAATTATTATAGAAAGTAAAATAGTTTTTATTTAAACTAAAAACATCTTTTGAAATCAGAGTATTGCTAAAACATGCATAATTCGAACGGATTATATGTTACAACAAATGAGTAGTTTTATTAAAAGAAGAAAACTTCGTTTGATTGAAATTAATAATTTTGCTCTTGGACTTGGTGCAACAGCTAAACTTATTTACAAATGGCATAAGTAAAAGGATTATTCTTTTTTTGAAAAAGTTTATTTTATTTTTCGACGAACTTTAACTCGAATACAATCAAAACTTTCGTCACAAGTAAATATAAAATACTAAAGTATAGATTCTATATTTATCTTTATTATCAATATAAGTTACCTGCTAATGAATCGCATCATCTAATTATTAATACTCTATTTAAATCATAGGAAATTTATAATAATTCAAATTTGGAAAATCTCTTTCAGTTATTCTTATTCGTTTTATTATTTAGGGTTAATAATTCTCTTTATTATATTTGAACGTGAAATTGATATAGGTGATGAAATACGAATTGAACAAGGTCTTCTTTCATGTGGAAATTCTTCTCTTCTGATTAAGTATGTAACATTCAGTGATATTTATCGATGCTGTTCTCTTGACTCCAAAGGCATTGTTTACTTGTTAGCTTTTATTTCATTTCAATTATCATTAAACAAAAAATGAATGGTATGTCTTCAATAAATTTAGTAGTGATTTCGAAGTTGGACTTGTCTATTATCTATTAGATTATAATTCAAAACATTTGTATAATGAAGATGTAACAAAAGATTCTTCTGAAAAATTAAGTTTATGCCATATGTATATATTCGACTTGGCAAGCATAAATCATATTAGAATCATCACAAACTGTTAAATGTTCTACTTCAAGATATCATTTAGCTGGAATGAAACGTTTCTGTTAGTCTATACCTCGATTAACTTCATTATCTCTATCTTCTCGTCTGACTTCATTTCACGTGAAACAACCACACATATATACATAAACAATGAGAAGAAAAAAAAGAAAAGATAAAGAAAAGTAATATCGATCAAATATATCTCCACTACCTGACAATTTCAATTGGCATTGATCGAAATCTACAAGCTTGTAGCGATTCAATTAGTAAAGATTAGATTAATTTGTTCTTCTGTGTTTTCAGATACAACGGATCCAAATCCAGATCATTCAATCGAGGATTTGATAATAAATTCGTTAATTTGCCATGATGCAAATACAATTCCAATTAAGCACATACATCTGACTAATGCAGAAATGGACGAATATCCTCCAACAGAAAGTGCTGATACTATTGATGTTCTCACTACATTATCTAAAAAAGAACAAATGTATTAAATTCATCAACCATTTAAGTATTCGTTTTAAAATTAAAGAAGTTATTATAATTGATTCTTTAGAAAAAGTCATTTTTAGAGTCAAGTAAAAATATACTTTTATGTATTCAATCGTAAAAGTGCTCTTTTAGATTCGAACGTGAAGTAGAAGCATAAGTTGTGAAGGTTATTGTCAATTTCGGCAAAGATTATATTGATGATCTTGTGGATGAATCATCTAATTTATCATTAGTTTAACTTGTTCTTTTTCAGGACTGGCCCAAGGTAGCAAAGACTGGGGGATTGTTTCGGGTTTTTGTAATGGAAGTAAACATTTTTTTCTAACAGAATGCATGAAAAAGCTATCGCCTCCGCTGGGAAAAAACGAAAATTTTCGATTATTGGGGAGTGTGATTCTGGCAACCCCCACAACCCCCGGTCAGGCCAGCCCTGTTCTTTTTATAAAAAAAACCACGAACAGCGTGTATTTTATCAGATCATTTAGTTAT